GCGAAACCGTCTCCTGTTCAGCAAAAAATCTACTCCACAACCCTTGATTAGCAGACTTCTTCAGGAGTTGTAGCAACCAGACTTCAATATCTAACAATCGTTGTGATAGAACAGCTCACGATATGTCAAATAATCCGCTACCTGCTTTGCATTAGTAACCGACAGCAGGACGACGTCAGCGAATCTGGCCTGTTGTGCCACCTCCTGTCGTCTACCACCGCCTGAAACAGACATGGGGTTCCACTGCACGAGTTTCGTCTGAATGGCCATGAATCACAGCGCCATGCGAAGGTTAAGAACTGCGAGATCGTGCGAAACAAGGCCCCAGAACCTCGGGCCAGGGCTAGAAGGCCGGCAAAGGCCAAGATAACTACTTATCTTTAGGTTCTGCGACGTGCTCATGTTCAGCGTTCCGACGGCGCAGAATGGTCACAAAGGCCACAAGGATGGCCACAAGAGCGCCCAGGAGGACTCCGAGATGACCCCCTGACGGCCCAAGGGGCCCCGAAGACGGCCACCAGAGGGCACCCAAACGGCCCACCGGGCGTCGTAAGACACCCAAGATAAGCCCCACATCTGCCGAAGGAAATCCACAATACGGTTTCCGACGGTGTCAGACGGGCCAGGAATGCCCTCAGACAACCAAACATCTTCCAAAGGCTCCCAAGAAAACCCTCGAGAAGCCTCCCAGAGGCACCCAGAAAGCCCACATGAGGATCCAAGAGGGCCCCAAGAGGCTCCAAAGAGGCCTCCTCATCCTCCTCTACCTTTTTCCTTCCACTCATCCTCCTCTTGTTTTTCAGATTCCCAACCATCCTGTGGTGTTGGGTCCTCGTTTTGAAGAGACGGTCCCCGCGTTCCTCTCCTCTCCTCTCCTCTCCTCTCCTCTCCTCCTCCCCCCTTCTTCCCTCCCCTCGTCACCCCCTCACTTTGGCACACCCCTCACACACGTTCCGTGGCCCCATAAGAAGCTCCACCTTACGTCCCAACGGCGCAGTCCGCATGGCGGCGCCGCCCCATTTTGGCACACCCCTCGCACGTTTCGTGGCCCCAGAAGGAGTTCCACCTGACGTCCCGGCGGTGCAGTCCGCATGGCGGCGTCGCCCCACTTTGGCATACCCATCACACGTTTCGTGGCACCATAGGAACCTCCACCTAACGCCCCAACGGCGCATCCCGCATGGTGGCGCCGCCCCATTTTGGCACACCCCTCACACGCTTCGTGGTCCCATAGGAAGCTCCACCTAAGGTCCCAGTGACGCAGTCCGCATGGCGGCGCCGCCCCATGTTGGCACTCCCCTAAAACGCTTCGTGGTACCATGGGGAGCTCCACCCAAGGTCCCAGTTGCGCAGTCCGCATGGTGGCGCCGCCCCATTTTGCCACACCCCTCGCACGTTTCGTGTCCCCATAGGAAGCTCAACCTAAGGTCTCATTAGCGCAGTCCGCATGGTGGCGCCGCCCCATTTTGGCAAACCGCTCACACGCTTCGTGCCCCCATAAGAAGGCCCCCAGTGGCGCAGTCGGCCTGGCGGAGCCACCCCATTTTGGCACATCCCTTTCACGTTTCGTGGCCCCATATGGAGCTCCACCGAAGGTTCCAGCGGCGCAATCCGCATGGCGGCGCCGCCCCATTTTGGCACACCCGTCACACGTTTCGTGGCCCCAGACGAAGCTTCGCCCTGCACCATTTCGGCACACTCTTCACGCGCTTCGGTATTTGGGTCCTTCGCCAGGTCGCCAGCTAAATTATTATTCGCCTTCTCTTCTTAGTCTTATGTTTCATTCGTCTTAGTCTTCTTAATTTCTTATGCGTTATCCTTTTATTATTATTCTTCTTATTAGTATTCATTCTCTCCCACGTGTTCCCCGCAAGGTTTCCACAACGGCTGGGGGAACACATAGTCCGATAGTTGTTTGACCGAGCTCTAGCCGCAACGTTCGGCCACATAGGCGCTTCCAAAGGCAGGGGGACGTGGAGCTTCGCCGTAAGCGTCCTCACTATACTTGCACCGTCCCCCCAAGGCCGTCGCTCAAGCAAGGCCAACTCTTGAATTAACCCAGCTGGCCCTTCTGGCCCTTCCCAAATTCGAAAAAATCCCTCAACACGCCCTGACCAACGTTCGCAAGCCTCGCAAGCCCCGGGCACCTATACCACCACTACACCTCCATGCCTGGCCGGGGCCATCCTGGGCACAGGGCATCGTGTACACTTTCTTCCAGTCGGCGGCGAGGCGAAAAGAAGAGCTCTGGCGGTCAGCGATCGGGGCAACCGATGCGCGAAGTGCCTGGCGTGCAGAAGGGGAAGAACACACACACACACCGACACACACACACACACACACACACACACTCACGCACACGCAAGAAACACACAACAAAAACACACAACATAACACCAAAACACACACACACACAGTAAAACAAGAAACACGAAAACACACACATACGGACTGTGTGTGTGTTTGTGTTTGTTGTGCTTTCTGCAGAAATGACAAACAGGGCGGCCGCGAAGGAGGGGGGGAGGCGGGGGGCACTCAGACGTGGAAGGATTCCAGGCAGTGCGCCGGCGCGGCCAGGAGTTGCAGCGGAGGCCGTGGCAGCAGCCCAGCCGCGGCGTCGGGGCACCCACGGGCGCTGCCGATGCTCAGTGCGAGGGGCACCGTATACACAGGAGGGTCCAGACACCATCCCTGGAGCCAGGACGGCCCTGGCCAGGCATGCCGGTGGCGTGGTGTGGAGCCACCCGCGGAGAGCCTCGAGACATTCGAACTCCGACGCCGAGCACCTCAGCGGCCCCGGCTCCCCGCCGCGGAGGGCAAGGCAGACAGGCAGCGCAGGCTCCAGGTCCTGGGGGCCTGAAGCGATCAAGTCTGCGTCCGCTCGGCCTCCACGGCCGATGCCGACATGGCGGACCACAGCAAGCTCGTGTCGCGGCAACGTTGGCGCTGGCTTCCGACACCGCGTGGACCGTTTGACATCGAGCGATCGCGGCTGTCCGATGGCGCGATCGTTCGTCTGTGAACGCCTGTGCCCTTGTCGCTGCCGCGTCAACGTGCCGCGAAACTGCCGTGTGCGCTTCTATGTCGGAGTTGCCCTTCAGGGGACATCTTCCGGGTCTCCCGCTAGGCTGTAGGAGCCATCGGCGCCTGCGGTCTCAGAATGAAGCAGGAAGCAACATCCCATCCTGTGATAGGGGTCGCGGCCTCATCCCGTTCCTCTTTCCTCTCTTCCTCTCCTCTTCACCTCGTCCTCCTATTCATGTTTCTGCCACTCGTGCTGCTGATGATGCATTTTTCCTGCTCCCATGATCGTGCTCATCTTCCTCCTCCTGCTGTCTCCTTGATCCTGGTCCCCTCATCCCCCATGCTCCTACAACACCTCCGCATCCTCCCTCCTCACTCCTCCGTCCTCCGCTCCCCCCCCCCTGCTCCCTCCTCCCTCCCCCTACCCCTTGCTCCCTCTCTCCTCACGTCTGCCACTCAGCGCACTTTTCCTGCCCAACCAATCCGTCCTGCTCCTTGATGTCGATAACCATGATCTCATTCTCTTTCTCCCATCTCCTGCTCCCCCTTCTCCTTCAATGCCCCCTCCTACGACCCTCTTTTTCTCTTCCTCTTCAGAACACTCCGCGATCTCCTTCACCTCCACCTCATTCCTCCTCCGCCTCCATCTCCCGCTCCACCTCCCCTGTGCCCTGCAACCTTCAGAAACCTCCAGAACATCCACAAAGTGACAACAACCATCTGACATTTCACGCCTATGCAAGAACCCACGGCGGGTTCCTGTCGAGACGTCTTGCGCCTTGGCCTGTGACACCGCGTGGATCGGTCAAACCTTAAGTCGGGCGTGTCCCCCTACAGGGGGGTTTTGGGCGAAAAATGAAAATACTAAAAATACCCCCCAAATGCGTAAAAAAACAATCAACACATAGTCCTCATACTATTTTTTGACTAACCTAGTGCCGCCGAGATTAATGCCGCATGGATAATAAAGTTCGGGGTCGCGGGGGGATTATAAATGTTGCCTACCAGAGACCAGCATGTGGGAGGAGAAAGAGATGATGTTAAGAGGACCGAAAGCCGAGGATCGAGGATCGAGAATCGAAGTCGGAGGATCGAGGGTCGAGATTCCAGAAGTAGAGCAAGATAGACAGACAGAAGGAGAGAGGTGGAGGAGGAGGAGGAGGAGGAGAAACGCCAAAGTTCAAAACCTATTAAATTGAATTCGTAAACAAACAATGGAAATTCAGATTGTCATCTGCTCGTGTAGGGTAGCTCACGTGCCTCGGTTTTCGTGGATAATAAACCACAACGATAAAACAAATCAGGGGGGCAGGGGGGGGAGGAAACGGAAAGAGAAAGAGAAGAGCAGACAGAAGAGAGAGAGAGAGAGATCAAGAAAACGCTGTTGGTTTCGCTTGAGACATCCTCGACAACGTCTTCGCTTCGTTTGATGATGCTATCTCAACATAAGAAGGAAGTTAACCTCGATGGTGAACGTTTCACAGTGATAGAAAAGTTCGGCCTCCGCGCCCCACGCCCCTGACTGAATTTTTCTTGGCCGTGGAGAATCAAGTCTAGCGTGGAAGGGGGGGGTCCTTTTTTATCAGCGGCGGGCGGTTATTTCTGAATATCCCTCCTGTACAGGAACAAGCCCGGCTTGAGTCAAACCTGAACGATCGCGGCAGGTATCGCTCGAAATCGGCAGAGTTTTGGGCCACTGGTGGCGTTCAACCTCGAGCGCTCACGCTGGGGTCGCCGCCGCCTCCACGCGACGCCGCGTCAGCGCGGCACGAGCGGACCATACTTGAAGGGGCCCAGAGATGCACACATAGATGAGCACACAAATCCAAGGATCCCCACTGTTTTCCCGCGTGTTTTTCCTGGACGTTCGCCTTCCACTCCACTTCCCATGCATCGACGAGTGGTTCGTGTCTGTGCTTTTGTTGCCCCTACCGGTCTTCCTCCTCCCGTGATGGCATGACCCCGCGGGGCGGCTCCAGGCGGAGGGCGACCTTGGTCAGCTGCCCGTCGAGCTCCAGGGCGCTGGCGCGGGGGGGGGGGAGATTGCCAAGGCGGAGAAATTGATGGGGGGCAACTCAGAGGAGGAGAACCCAGACCCCCTCGCGTCATGAACAAATCACGACGGGAGGTGTTCCAATATTTTCGCCCTCTGGGGGCCCTTACCGGGCCTCGGGACCGTGAAAAAACAACTCAGAATACCGGTCCCGGGGAATGGGTCCAAACCTCTGGGGGTCGCGTCGAGCTCCGTTCGGGATCACTGGAGAGCGCCACGAGACGAGGCAAATGACTTTCTGGCGCTGCGCAAGCTTGGGGCGGAAGCCTGGAGCGTGCATGCGTGCGAAACAAAAAGAGAATGCAGTAAGCCGACCTGGGCGAGGAGCAAACTGATTAAGGCGCAGCTGAAAACAGTGAGGCAGACGGCACGAAAAGAATACAGGGCCCCGGGGGAGAGGACACCTCTCCCTCCCCGTCTCGTGGCGTCTTCTGGGCCACCCAGATGCCTCCGTGGCGTCCTCCCTCCGTGGGCGTCCCGCCCCGTGGCATGCCCTGAGGAGACGAGACAACCGATGACACCACGAGGGGCAGACGGCACGAAAAGCGCGGACCGAGCGAACGAGCATGCGTATAGGCCTCCCAAATGGGGTCGAAGGATCCACGAGCGACGAGAACCGGATCCACGAGTCCGATCGACGGCCAGAGAGACTGAGCATCGTTTAACCGATCCCCATGCCCACTGGCGTGGCCTGGGCCACACTGGCCGATTTATCCCTCTAGATGGTATACGCTGTTCCCTTCGGGTTTCCAAGGGCATATCCCCAACTGGGGTGGTGGTTTGGTGGGGCTGAGAAGCCACTGCCCAGTGGGAATGGGGATAGGTTCAACGATACTGAGAGACCAGGCCTCCAGCGCCGCACCTGGCGCGCTCCGCGCGCCAGGAAAGAGGGCTCAGCGCCGATCCAAGGAGTCCGCGCGGACCTCCGAGAAATTATGTTTGTGCCAGAGTAACAAGCCAACGATGCATAACCAAATTGACATTTGGAGCCTTCCGCTCAAAGATGGCGCCGAAAGCCCCCCAACGGCTCCCCAGGCCCCCCCCCAGACACCCCAATAGGCCCCAGAGATCCGCCGACCCTGTCGGCGTGTGTGAGGGGCTTTTCCGTTCGAGCCGTCATCTCCGTCATTCTTTGTACTCGTCGTCTCTGTCCTTCCCTTTCCCTGGGAGACCTCTTCCCCTGGGCTCCAGCCAAGCCGACCTTGAGCAACCTCGTAATTGAGTCGAAGGGAAGCCCCTTCCCTTTGATCCCTCCCCCGCCGGGAGGGGGGGGGGGGTAGCGACCCCCCCCCCGGGTCAGATACGACGCCCCCCCTGGGACTCCTCTTCCCCTGGGCTCCAGCCAAGCCGACCTTGAGCAACCTCGTAATTGAGTCGAAGGGAAGCCCCTTCCCTTTGATCCCTCCCCCGCCGGGAGGGGGGGGGGTAGCGACCCCCCCCGGGTCAGATACGACGCCCCCCCTGGGACTCCTCTTCCCCTGGGCTCCAGCCAAGCCGACCTTGAGCAACCTCGTAATTGAGTCGAAGGGAAGCCCCTTCCCTTTGATCCCTCCCCCGCCGGGAGGGGGGGGGGGTAGCGACCCCCCCCCCGGGTCAGATACGACGCCCCCCCTGGGACTCCTCTTCCCCTGGGCTCCAGCCAAGCCGACCTTGAGCAACCTCGTAATTGAGTCGAAGGGAAGCCCCTTCCCTTTGATCCCTCCCCCGCCGGGAGGGGGGGGGGGGTAGGGGGGGGGGTACCGACCCCCCCCCGGGTCAGATACGACGCCCCCCCCCTGGGACTCCTCTTCCCCTGGGACCTTGAGCAACCTCGTAATTGAGTCGAAAGGAAGCCCCTTCCCTTTGATCCCTCCCCCGCCGGGAGGGGGGGGGGGGTAGGGGGGGGGACCCCCCCCCGGGTCAGATACGACGCCCCCCCCTGGGACTCCTCTTCCCCTGGGCTCCAGCCAAGCCGACCTTGAGCAACCTCGTAATTGAGTCGAAGGGAAGCCCCTTCCCTTTGATCCCTCCCCCGCCGGGAGGGGGGGGGGGTAGCGACCCCCCCCCCGGGTCAGATACGACGCCCCCCCCTGGGACTCCTCTTCCCCTGGGCTCCAGCCAAGCCGACCTTGAGCAACCTCGTAATTGAGTCGAAGGGAAGCCCCTTCCCTTTGATCCCTCCCCCGCCGGGAGGCGAGGGGGGGGTAGCGGGGGGCGGTAGCGACCCCCCCCCCAGGTCAGATACGACGCCCCCCCCCCGTACCGACCTTGAGCAACGTCGTAATTGAGTCGAAGGGAAGCCCCTTCCCTTTCCCTTCCCCGCCGGGGGAGGGAGAGGGGGTCCCGGGGGGGGTCCCGGGGGAGTCCCGGGGAAGTCCCGGGTCAGATACGACACCTCCCTCCCCCACCTTCTCGTCCTTCTCCCCGTTCCCCAAAACCATCCCACAGCCCGTGCCTCTTGCTGCGCATTGCGAACAGGGTCGGCGGCACCGGCCGTCAGGCCTTCGCAATACATCAAGAGGCCCCCAAGAGCCCCCCAGAAACCCCCACAGCTTTCCAATAGTCCCCCAAGAGGCGTACCAAGAGACCTGAACAGGCATCCAAGTTGACTCTGAACACCAGCCCAGACGCGACGACGAGACGAGGCGAATGCCAGTATGTATGCGTACGAAAAAACTGTCGATGGCCCGCACAGATTGCGGAGCGCGCCAGGGGCGGCGCCGCTGGCACCGCCAAAGGGGTCCAGCACAGATAGCAGAAGTCCGCGCGAACTCCCAAAGGTTGATGTTCATGCTGTCTTCGCTTACCTGTAACACTCTGTCTCATCATTTAAAGACGTTGCACGTGATGCCCGGTGACTTGGCGTCCAACGCGCTTCGGCGCACGTATGGCTCAGCGTAGCGCGCTTGCTCTCTTTCTCGGACGACAGAGGGGTGCCCCCGGACCCCCCAGCAGGGAGGTCCCCTCTGAAGGCGCGCAAGGACACACAAACAAACCAGTACACATCCTAAGATCTCCAGGTTGTTCATGTTTTCTGGAGTTTCGTCTTCCCCTCCATCTCCCATATTTAGCAACATTTAATTGGTGTTTGTTTTTGTTGTTCCCCCTCCTGACCCTCCTTGGTTCGGAGGCATATCCTGGGACGTGTTCGTAAGAACGACCAGGGGCTAGAAGCCCGATGAGAAGGCCGGTCACTGGGGAAAGTGCAAGTAGAGGTAGCCGAAGATTACGCGCAATCTACGCGCAATCAGACCCGATCTGGCGGAATTGCACAGGATTGGCCAGGACAAACCCGATGTTCACCAAGCCCCAACAAACAGGGCGTTTGTAAACGGGGTGGTAGCTAAGGGTGCCATTTCAGTTGAACCTTCGAAAATTGAATTACCGCGCGTACGTGAGAGGCACCCCCCCGCCCACACTTCTGATGATAGGACTTTGTCGTCCCGATGTATCACGCACTAACCTGCACTCGCTCGTAGGAGGCCCCTTAACTACCAAATCGTGTACTAACACCCCGTTTGCAGGGGCTTGGTTTCAACGACAGATATGCCAGCGCCGATGCTGGAAAACACCCACCAGAAGTTGCACCCATCACTGCCTGGCCCCCAGGAAAAGGAGGAGGAGGGGAGGAGGAGGAGGAGGAGGAGGAGCAGGAGCAGGAGGGAGGAGGAGGAAAAGACGCCGCTGAGGGAGAGAAAAAACATAGAGAAAAAGCAGGTCCTCGTCCGCCCGCCGCCGATCGCTGGTGCGGGCGCCACTTGGGGGCTCACCCTCGCGCCAAGCATGGGGGAGCACGAACCCCCCTGCAGGCCGCAGAGGGCCGACCCCCGAGCGTCACCCCACCAGCAGTCGCCGACGCACGGCCCTGCACGCTCATCGCCCCCACAGTGCTCATAAGGCGCGGACCCCTCAGCCACGCGTGAGCAAGCGGCCGCCGCTGCCAGAGTCGGCTCCGCCGCGGCCCGCGCGCGGCCCGCCGCCCTGGCGAGTGCACGAGCTGCACGGCCCAGGAAATCAAGGCCACCCAGCCCTGCGCGCCAGCTACTTCGCCACTTCGTGTTGGCGAAGCCAGCCACGCAGTTGACGTTCCTGGACGCCCCTTGCTTCGCAATCCTGCGACAGCTTCAAAAACATGGCCTCGATGTTCGCAATCTGGCCATCAATCCGCGCCTCCCCTTGAACGGAGAGAAACCCGATCTTCTACATGTCCAGCGGGCGGCCTCCACAAAAGCGAGGCTCCCTGGCCTCCTGCTTGAGCTCCCCGTAAAAATCAGCAGCGGCCTTCCACATGGCCCTCAGCCGCCCTCGAAAAAACACCAGTACCTCTTGTACTTCTTGCTTGGGCGCCTCGGCCTCCTCTGGGCCTCTGCGCCAGCGCCTGCGTCCAGCTCGTCCTCAATGGCCATCTCGCCATCAAAGAGGTCAGGCATGTATGTCGAACTCGCACTCGTCGGGCCCGTCGCCAAAAACCACGGGAGCGACGAAGACTTCGCCCTCGATCTCCAGCGCAACCGAGTCCATCTCCTCGCCCTCGACCGTGCCCAGGGGCGGGCCGGTGTCGCCGAGCTCCATCAAATCAGCCTTCGCACCGCCGCCGTTGTCGCCACGGCCCATCGCATTCACTTCGTCAACTGCCGTGTCGTAGCCGTCCACGAGCACGATGTCAAACGGCTGCAGCCCGATGAACTCCTGCTCCCTCTGGGAGGCCTCCGTCGAATAGGCACCCGCACCGTCTGCGCCCTCGTCGCAGTGCACCCCGAAGGCTGTGAGCAGCAGGTCCACCGCCGGCTCCTCCGCCACAACGGAAGCGTGCAGCTGCCCGCGGAACTCCTCGAGCAGCGGCGCCTTCATCCCGAAGGGCGTCTGCCGCATCTTCGCCAGGGCCGGCGGGGCGGCATGCCGAGCCCAGTTGGCCCCGATCCTGAGCTCTTCGGCCTCCGCCGCTAGCTCGCACAGGCCAAGGAGCTTGGCCGCGCTCGCCGACGCCATGATGGAGGCCACGTGGCCCCCGACCGCGTCGCCCACTGCCCAATGGGGAGTCACCTACTTCTGCGCGCCACTCGCGGCGACGGCGCCGCGCCAGCGTCCGCGCCGAAGCCGTAGCCCAGCGCCTCTCGCCGTCGATCTCGAGGTCCGCCATCGGCCGCGCACAGCGGGGCGCGCGCAACCGAGCGTGGGCCTCCCGTCGCTTGGCTCGCTCGAGCCAAAATGGCTGCGGAGGGGGGGGGGGGAGGAGGAGGAGGAGGAGGAGGAGGAGGAGGAGGAGGAGGAGGAGGAGGGAGGAGGAGGAGGAGGAGGAGACTAGACTAGAAAAAAATCATGCAATAAACTCATGCGCGGGGACCCCTCAGGATCCCTTCCTGAGCGTAGGCAGAGCCTGGGTTTAACCCCAGGCTCTGCCCACGCCGACCTTGTAGAACGCCACGCTCCGCTCCAGCATGGCCTGCAGCCTTGGCCAGCACCTCCCCGATGCCGATGCGCTGCTCCTGCCCGTCGAAGCTCTCCTCGACGCTGCTCAGATCATCGAAGTGCCCCTGCACGACGCTGGCGCTGTCCCCCTCGCCCCCCAGATGCTCCAGTTGCGGCGGCGTCGCCCCCGCGCCTGCAGCACCGTCCACCTGGGGGCCCACACGACACGGCACCACGTCTGCCTTCCAACCCCCTTCACGGGGAGGGCCAGGCTCAGCCCTGTCCCGCCGGCGCCAGGGGCCCGCGGCCCAGCCCCTCGAGGACCGCCTCGGCGATCTCGTCGCTGCAGGGCTGTCGGCTCCGTCGGCCCCACACGCAGGGCGGCCTTGAGATGTAAGGCCTCGCCGCGGAGCGCAGCGGCGTGCGGCGCGCGGACGCCTCCACAGGCCGCTTCACCGCAGGCTCCGCCACGCAGACCTCGAATGCAACACGCGGAAAGACCACAGCGGCCTCCGCCTGGCAGATCTCGACGACGCACTCCACGGGCACGCGCTCGGCCTGCCCGCCGAAGGCTCCGAGGCGCGGCCCTGCTGCCACCTCCGCGATGGCCGCGTCGGAGGCCGTCGCAAAGCCGCCGACTGGCACGCGGCGCGCGTGCCACGCGGCGTTGCGGCGGCGCCTGCGACGTCCGCACACACGCGCGCCTGCAACCGCGGCCTGCAAGGCCGGCCGCGCCGCCAGCTCTCGGTCGCGCCAAGAGCCCGGGGCGGCATCGCCAGCTGGCTCCTGCAGGCTCTTGAGGCGCTCGATCTCCAGCCGGGCCTCCGACAGCTCCTTCACCAGCCGCTGGACGAGGCGGTCCGCGGCAGCCTGGGCCCCAGCTGCCCCACGGAGGGGCTCCCGCGCCATTTGCCGGCCCAAGCTAGCTAGAGCCAGGCTTGAGCCAAAATGGCTACGGTGGAGGAGGAGCAGGAGGAGCAGGAGGAGCAGGAGGAGCAGGAGGAGGAGCAGGAGGAGGAGGAGGGGGAGGAGGAGCAGGAGGAGGAGGAGGAGGAGGAGGCGGAGGAGCTGCATCTCGAACTCCCTTGCCCCCGTGGGGCCGCGAGAAGGCAGAAGGGGCGCTCGGGCCAAGGGAAGGCGCGCGCCGCTCCCCATGGGAAGGCGCCGAGCGGCACGTCGCCCGCGCCGACGCGCGAGCTCGCGCGTCAGCCGGAAGAGGCGCGCCGCCACGCGCGCCTAATCTTGCGGTGCTGGGTCCTCGTTTTGAAGAGACAACGCCCCGCGTTCCTCCTCCTCCTCCTCCTCCTCTCCTCCTCCTCCTGCTCCTCCTCCTCCTCCTCCTCCTCCTTTTCCTCGTCCCGGGTTCTGGAGCCACTCGGGGCCGATTCCCGACGTGCGTGGCGCCCGCGGCGCCCGCCGGAAAACTGCACGAATAGAAACAGCCGATGTCCACGCCAATTTCTGGAACCGGCGCCGGACCCCATTTCGTGTTTTCAGTGTTCCAGGATGTCTCCCACTGGGAATGGAGGACGCCTTGGGGACTTCGTGTTGGGTTTGGGTGGTTTGGTGGGAAGTGACTACCTGGGGCGCGGAGCACGCCAGGGGGGTCCAGCGCAGATATCAGAAGTCCGCGCGGATTCTCAACAGTTTATTTGCCTATGTCGATTTCGTCTTCCGCACTGAGCAGGACGGACGCCCCATCAACGCCAGCAGAGCAGTCCTCTCCTTGTAGGGGGCATCTCTGGAGGATCTTCGAAAGATGAAGTAAATTCTAGTGAACCCGAGTGAGGGGCCACTCAGCTGGATTAGTCCAAATAAGCTCATGGTCGAACCCGATTCACCAATGTTAAGCGGGATTAAGCCGGATTTATCGGGATTAGCCAGTTAAGCCCCAATGAAGCGGAATTGCGCGGAATTGTATCCAATAAGGCTAGTGTTCAACCGTGGACATACCAGCGCCGATGCTGACTTTAACCTCCCAAGAGTTGCATCCTAACTCCTTGGCCGCGGAGGACGACGAGAAAGAAGAAGGCGCCTGTCACAAGGAGGGCCCGTGTTGCTCCCCAGACGGGTGCCAAGCAGCACATCGCACACCGGCGCGCGGGCTAGTGCGCGTGTGCTTTCGCCCGCATGCACGTACGGGAGGCGCCACCGGCGCCCAACGAAAGTAACCAGAACAAACGGCATCCGGACGAGGATGCTGTCACGACACGAATGGCTCAGGAACCGTTCCAGGAATTCCGTTTCATCTGACGGCCCTCGTTCATGCCGCCCGTGGCCCGTGTGGAACGTCAGAGAATCGAGGGAAATACCAGAACGCACCAACGGCATCATCTCTTGTTCCTTTGAAGCGAAGCCGTCGAGGATCGGCGCTTGGCCCCCCATCATGGCGCGCGGAGCGAGCCAGGGAAAACGTCGCGGGCGCCGCCAGGGGGGGCCAGCGCCGACATGTCGATTGTTCTTCTTTAAAGGGGCCCCAGGACACACAAATAAATACACACAAATAAAATGATTCCCCATACTTTCTTATATTTTTGAGGATTTCGTCTTCCCCCCACTTCCCATATTTTCCCATATTACCTAACAGCGCAGACTGATAGGTTTCTAGTAGTGTCAAAAGAGAGCATCTTGACTCCCCAGGGGGAACCCGCGGAAGTCGTTTCAAGCAAACAGTTACACACTTCGTTGTCTTCGAGGTCCCAGAACTCCATTCCTGGGCATGATTTTGAATGCCCGGAGCCAACTGTAGGCCACTTCGTGGTCTTCGAATTCCCAGAACTCCATTCCTGGGCATGATTTTGAATGCTCGGAGCCAACTGTAGGCCACTTCGTGGTCTTCGAGTTCCCAGAATTCCATTCCTGGGCATGATTTTGAATGCCCGGAGCCAACTGTAGGCCACTTCGTGGTCTTCGAATTCCCAGAACTCCATTCCTGGGCATGATTTTGAATGCCGGAGCCAACTGTAGGCCACTTCGTGGTCTTCGAGTTCCCAGAATTCCGTTCCTGGGCATGACTTTGATGTCCGGAGCCAAATGTAGGCCACTTCGTGCTCTTCGAATTCCCAGAACTCCATTCCTGGGCATGATTTTGAATACCCGGAGCCAACTGTAGGCGTCGTCGCCGTCGTCGCCGTCATGACGGCGACGACGACGACGACGCACGCCCCTCCAGGGCGCCCCCCCCGCCGTAAGCAGCGGTCACGGGGGGGCATCCAGTGTTGAGGCTGAGGCCGAGGCAGGCTGAGGCTGAGACTGAAACTGAGGCTGAGGATGAGGCAGGCCGAAGCTGAGACAAGGTGAGGCTGAATGGGGGGGGGAAAGGGCGGGGGGGGAGGAGGGGGGGAGGCTGAGGCAGGCTGAGGCCGAGGCAGGCTGAGGCCGAGGCAGGCTGAGGCTGAGGCTGAGGCAAGCCGAGGCAGGCTGAGGCTGAGGCTCAGGCTGAGGCTGAGGCAGGCTGAGGCTGCGGCAGGCTGAGGCTGAGGCTGACGCAGGCTGAGGCCGAGGCAGGGTGAGGCTGAGGCTGAGGCAGGCTGAGGCTGAGGCCGAGGCAGGCTGAGGCTGAGGCTGAGGCAAGCAGAGGCAGGCTGAGGGTGAGGCTGAAACTGAGGCAGGCTGAGGCATCCGTAGGAATCCATAGGAATCCTTGGGAATCCCTAGGAAGCCTTGGGAATCCGTAGGCATCCTTAGAAATCCGTAGGCGTAGTTAAGCCTCCTCAGGAATCCTTAGGATACCCTAAGAATCCTTAGGAATCCCTAGGAATCAGGATTCCTAAGGATTCCTAAGGCTTCCTAAGGATTCCTATGGATTCCTAAGGATGCCCTAGGAATCCCGAGGAATCCTGAGGATTCCATTGGATCCTAAGGCCGTTGCCACTGTGACTGTCATTGCGACTGCGACTGCGACTGCGAGAACAGCAGAATTCTACAACTGGATTCTCACCTGAATCTTAAGGGGAATACTTCCAGGTATGCTTATACACATCGCTGTTAGGTTGCTTTGCCGGGATATTTTTCTGGGGAATCGAGGATGAATTGTGTCTGTGTGTTTTTGTTCCCTCCTGATTCTTCGAATCATGCGAGCACGCACCGCTGTACACCGCACTCGGGCTTGGCCTGAACTGAAGAGGTCCTGAGGGAAACCCTGGGAGGCAACTCCTGGTCGGGTCTTCGCGGAGCCGACCAGGGACTGCTCGGGCTTCGGCCAGGGATCTACCAAGGCCGATGCTGAGTTCAGCCTCTCAACAACTGCAACCTAACAATCGGGCTTAGCACGAAAAAGAAGGGTCCTGAGGGAAACGGGTCCTGGCAGGGTCAACTTTTCGTCCTGAGCAGCTGCTTGACGGCCCTGGGGCCTGTGAAAGTGGAAGGACCCTTGGGACATGTAAAGCGGCATAGACTAGAATTCGGGATCCCCCCCTTCCTCAGGGCCTCCTTGACTGATGTCGATCGGGCGCATGGCGACGCACAGGCGGCGAGGATCTAGCGGCAGAGGGCAAGACAAGTCAAGCAAAAGGCTAGCCTGTCTGGAAGCGTCCCCGCGCCGTCGTCGCCTTCGGGGGTGCAGGGGGAACCGGGGCCAACAGGGTGAGAGGAGGACAGGATCGTGCCGGTCCGAAGTTCTACAGCTAAGTCGGGCCTGTCCCCCTACAGGCCAATTGTAGACGAAAAATTACAAATACCCCCAAAATGCCCTTATAATACTCAAAAGTTGACAAAACCCTAAAAATAACCTAAAGTACACCAAAAATAAGCCCTCAAAAATACACCCAGAATTACATAAAAATGCACAACAAATGCATCAAAATACCAGCAAAAATAGTCCCCAGACTATTGTTATACTATTTTTGCAAACTCCCCCTGTAGAGGGGCGGGCCCGACTTCCTTCTACGGCCGGAACGCCCGCGGAGGCCTGCCACAGCGCACGGCTGCCCTGCGCCACGGATCAATCCGAGCGCAGACCTGGCCAGGAGCGATCACGCGAGGAGCACCATCAAGGGCTCCCAACTTCGCGCCTCGCGCTGCGCGAAGCGCGAAGTGCGAATAGCTTCGTTCGTGCTCTCGCGCGGCCTCCCAGGGGAGGAGAGGAGGATGAGGAGGAATCGGAGCCGTACCGCGAAGCGCAAAGCGCGAATAACTTCGCGCCCTCGAGGGCGCCCTTGCACCATGCGGAAGGGGCGAGTCGCCAACATGGTGTGCGCGTGCGGGTTCGAGAGGCCTGCGCGCCAGCTGTTTCCCCGCCCGTGCTCTCCTGGGGCGGCCGCCAACGCCTTTTTCTGCACGCGACTCGCCCTGCGTAGCCACCCCCCTCTGCAACGTCAGGCGGAATTGTGGCCAAGAGTGTCCCGCATCAGCTCTGGCAGTAGAGACGCTTCTCGGCCGTTGGAAGACAAAATGTGCGTGTGTGGGGGGGGCTGCAATCGGGTGGGCGTGCACTCGATCCGTTGAGGTGACGTTGGATCGCCCGTGTGATGGCAAAGAGTGCGTGTGTGTGTGTGTGTGTGTCTGTGTGTGTCTGTGTGATTATGTGTGTGTGTGTGTGTCTGTGTGGGTCTGGCAAGCATGGCAAAGGGACGGGGCCGGACCTGCCCCCCAGGCGCGCGGCCAGGAGGTGGTAGGTACGGTGGTACGGGGCCGGCCCAGAAAGTCCGGGCGGCCCCTCGGATGCTCGTGCCGCTGTTTCTGGCTCCCGAGCGGTCAGGGCCAGATCGACTGCAGTGTGCCCCACTGGGGGGGACGAGGCTCGACCAATGCCCGAATCCTTTCCAACCTCGTGAGGTGAGGCTGCAGTCGTCGCGCCGCCAGAAGGGATGATAAGGAACAAATATGCTTTTCTGGCCAAGGCTAGCCTCGGCCACGATTTCCCGACCTCGATTTAGGTCGGGCGTGTCCCTCCACACGCGAATCTTGAGCGGCAAATTTGAAAACATTAGAAAAATCTCCAAACATAGGCAAGAATGGTGGAACAGTTGTCCCCAGACTGTTCCTCCTGCAGAAAGACGTGCCCGACCGAAACCCAGATCCGAGCAGCGGCCGGAAAGCCAGAGCCCCTCCTGCGCCCGAGGTGATCCCCGTTTCGGCGCCGAGAGAGTCTACCGCAGGCACTGCCTGCCCGCCGACCCTCGGCCACCCAGACGACTTCTGCGGTCCCAGCGGCACCCGTCTCTTGCGGGTCGCTCAGCCCCTGTTGGAGGACCTCCACGAGACCTCGAAGGACCCCAACGGGACCTTAACCACACCGCCACGGGACCTCACGAGGACCCCAGTGGGACCTAACTAGGCCTTGAGCTGTTCGTCATCTGAGAGGACGAAAAGCGCACGCATGCAGGGGCAGGTGGCCGAAGGGAGAAGAAACGTCGCGACAAAACATCGCTCCCGCTCCAGGTCGATCGACGCCTACGCCGAACGCCCTCGGCGGCGACGAGGCCAGCGACGAGGACGACGACGGCGAGCGGTGGCGCAGAGCGCTTGGCGCGCCGCGCGGCCGCCGAACCGACATCGAACCGAACCGAATCGGCAGATCGACACATAACCAAATCGACATCAAATGGACACGTAGGGAACCCAACCATGACACAAACACAATAACTCGGAGGTCCGCGCGGATTTCTTGGATCGGCGCTGGAGCCCCCTGGCGGCGCCTCCGGCGCCGCCCCTGGCGCGTTCCAGCACAGACCCAAGAGATCCGCGCGGACCTCCGACTTGTTATGTTCATGCTATTGTCTGGTCACCGACATCGGCATCGACAACACGACGTCTCGATCGAATCAATTCGCCATCGAATCGACATCGACACCGAATCGAGTCGACATCGGCATCGGAAAGAGCGCGGTTTGCGGGCGCATGTTTGGAACAACAATGCCCTAACGCGCCGCCGGGAAACCCCAAGGATGGGCCGAAACTCCCCCCCCAGGTTCGAACCCAGGAGGGAGGGCGGTCCCCCCTCCTCGGAACTGGGGGGGGTGGAAAGGCGACGACGACGACGACTACGACACGACAGCGGCGGCGTCGACAGCGAAACAACGAGGAGGACGACGAGGACGAGGACGAGGACGAGTAATTACGAGGACGAGGACGAGGACGACGACAACGCCGACGCCGATGCCGACGTCGACGCCGACACCGACGCCGACAACGACGACGACGGCGACGCCGAGCACGACGCCGAGCACAATGCCAACGACGCCGACGCCGACGCCAAGCACGACGACGTTGAGCACGACGCCGACGCCGACAGCGACGCCGATGCCGACAACGACGACGACGACGCCGACAAAAAACACGACGCCGACGCCGAGCACAATGCCGACCGACGTCGACGTCGACGTCGACGTCGATGTCGACGTCGACGACGACGACGACGACGACGACACGACAGCGGCGGCGCCGCGGACGACGACACCGACGGCCGACGCCGACAACGACGCCGACGACAACACCGACGCCGACCCCAACGCCGCCGCCGACGACGACGACGACGACGACGCCGACGCCGACAACGACGCCGACAACGACGCCGACCACGCCGAGCACGACGCCGACCACGACGCCGATCCCAACGCCGACGCCGAGCACAACGCCGAGAACGACGCCGACGCCAGCGCCGACGCCGCCGACGCAGGCGCCAGCGCCGACGCCGACGACGCCGACGACGCCGATGCCGAAGCGGACGCCGACGCCGACGCCGACGACGCCGACGACGCCGACGACGCCGACGCCGACGCCGACGCCGACGCCGACGCCGACGCCGACGCCGACGCCGACGCCGACGACAACGCCGACGCCGACGCCGACGACGCCGCCGACGACGACGACGACGAGCACGACGCCGACGCCGACGCCGACGCCGACGCCGATGCCGACGCCGACGCCGACACCGACGACGACGACGACGATGACGACGACGACGACGAAGCCGAGAACGACGCCGACGCCGACGCCGAAGCCGACGCCGTCGCCGACGACCACGACGACTCCGAGCGCGACGCCGTCGTCGTCGCTCCACCCCCCACTGGGTTCCGAACCCCGGGGGGGGGCCCTGCAAACGACCACAGACAGCGAAGCGGTTTCGTAAAGCGCTCTCTCCGACATCGACATCTCGACGTCTCGATCGATAAGTCTGCACCGAATGTGCACTGAGTCGAAAACCGTGCCCTCCCTTGGTGCCCGCGCGCGGCGGCGGGCCCTGAGCCGGCTCCAGCCGCCCGACCACCTGCGGCGACTGGGGCGGTGACGACGGCCTGCTCCTCCTCCTCCGAGGTCATCACCGGAGATGGTTCCGCTGGGCCGGAGGGGGAGCGGAAACCGGAACCGGAAACCGGAAACCGGAAAACGGAAACCAGAAAACAGCGAAGAAGGAAGCGGAGGCCGACGGCAGACGACAAGAATCGGAAAACGGAAAAGGGAAAACGGAAAACGGAGAAGAAAGACGCGGGGGGTGACGGGAGAGCACCGGAACCGGAAAACGGAAAACGGAAAGCGGAAACCGGAACCCAAAAACGGAAACGGGAAACCGAAAAGGGGAAAACGGAAAACAACGAAGAGGGAAGCGGAGGCCGACGGGAGACCACCGGAATCGGAAAACGGAAAACGGAAAAAGGAAAACGGCGCAGAAAAACGCGAGGGACCACGGGAAAACACCGGAACGGGAAAACGGGAAACGGAAAACGGAGACCGGAACCGGAAACCGGAAAACGGAAAGCAGAAACCGGAAAACAGCGAAGACGGAGCCGGGAGCCGACGGCAGACCACCGGAATCGGAAAACGGACAACGGAAAACGGAAAATGGCGTAGAAGGACGCGGGTGCCCACGGGAGAGCCCCGAACCGGAAAACGGAAAACAGAAACCGGAAACCGGAACCGGAAAACGGAAACCGGAAAACGCAAAGCGGAAAATGGAAAACGGAAAACGGAAACCGGAAACCGTAAAACGGAAACCGGAAAACGGAAAGCGGAAAACGGAAAACGGAAAACGGAAAGCGGAAACCGGAAAACGGAAACCGGAAAACGAAAATCGGAGGAGGAGGAGGAGGAGGAAAAGGAGGAGGAGGAGGAGAAAGAGGAAGAGGAGGAGGAGCCTCCCTTCCTCCTCTCTCCCTCTTGCCCCCCCCCCGCCCCTCCTCCCTCCCCGTTCCCTTTGCCAGGCTTCCTCCCTCCCTCCCTCCTGCCTCCCCCCTCGTTGATCCTGCCCTCACCTCCCTGTCTCCCTCCTCGTTCCCTCCTCCTCCTCCTCGTCCCTCTTCCCGAGCGGAGCCGGCGCGCGGGCTGGCCAGACCGAAGGACAACGACGATCTGATTTCAAGAAGCCCCCAAAACGTTCCAAGACTGCTCCAAGAGGCTTCCGAGACCTCCAAAGAGGCCCCCAAGAAGCCAAACTCCTTCAAACACCAAAAGAAAATGCATGATTTTTGCTTTCTCGCTTTTTCGCTTTTGATGGCCATCCGAAGCCTCAAGGTGCATCCAAAATGGCCCAGGAGAGCCCCAGGAGAGGCCCAAGAGAGCCCGAGGACGGCCCCAAGAGCGCCCCAAGAGCGATCCAAGAGAGGTCCAGGAGGCGATTGTCGGTGCTCCCAAGGGGGGAGGCAAATTGAAGCTCACCTTTTTGTGATCGATGTCCTCCAAGATGGCCCCAACAGCGCCCCAAAGCTCCCAAGAGCGGCCCAGGAGGGCCCCAAGAGGCGCTCAGGCAGCCCGAAGATGCCTCCAAGAGGCTCCCGAGAGACCCTATACGAGGCCCCAAGAGGATCTCCGAGGTACCCAACTCTCCCTCCTTCTCCTCCTTTTCGTCCTCCTCGTCCTCGCCCTACTCCGCCTCCTCCTCCTCCTCCATCGACGACGACGATTCCTTCTCCATCCTCCCCCTCCTGCGGTATATGACGGCGTCCCCCGCCCTTTGTCCTTTTGCGTGCTCCCCCACTTCTCGTATCATCTCAACTCTCCTGGGCATCGTTTTTCTGGATGGGCTGGTGGGGATATGTGAAGCGTCAACAATAGCAGCGCGTTCATCGATTACCGATGACAAATCCCACCAGTCCTCTGGGCGGAGGTGGTCTACGGCGTTTCCTCTGGTAGCTTTCCAGAAACCCCTCTCCCTACCCTCTCCCCTGGACCTCGCCGCACCCCCTGCAATATTCTGCCAAAAAGGGGTGCAAAGATTCCGTGCTGACCCTGCAACACCCTGCAATACCTTGGAAAACGACCCTGCAAACCAAACCCCTGCAGTACCATGCAATACCCTGCAAACCACCCTGAAATACCCTGCAAAACGACCGCGCGCCCTCTGGGTGGAGGAGGTCAGAAGCGGTTCCTCCGCACGCTTTCTATTCCCCGAGCCCGCTGGGCGTGAGTGGCCTAGCAAATTGCCTCTTCCAACTCCCCTGCTTCGCCTTCGGGGAGGGGCCTATGATTTTTTCTCATTAGAATGATACCGGAGAAAAGACCCAATCAGGGCTATAGGGCTAGGGGGCTATAGGGCTATTGAGCTATAGGTCTATAGAGCTATAGGGCTATAGAATTGTAGGGCTGTTGGGCTATAGTGCTTAGGGCTATAGGGCTATAGGGCACGCCCGGGCCCCCGGGCCCCCGGGCCCCCTGGCCCCCCCGGGCACCCCCAGGCACCCGGGCGTGCAGCGAAAATCGGCGACAAACCTAACCTAACCATATGAATCCGCTATGACCCCTACAGAAGCAAGCTCTGCTTGAGGAATAAACACCCCCTCCCTGGCCCGACTGGCAGCCAATCTGGATCCATAACGACACCCATGGCAACACCCCCCACAACATCCCTGTCAAAAACCATACAAGATAAACTTTGCCTCTGGAGCCTGGAGCATGCGCGGGCATCCCACGACCACTTAGCATGGGGTCTTGACAAGGGCGGCGGCGGTGCCGGCACATTGTTCGCCGCGCGCACACCCGCGCACAACAAACCCGCCGTCACTGTGTATTGTTTTTGAACAGGGACGGTGGGAGGGTCGACGTATTGCCCAATATGGCGCACCTGGCCCGCGTGGCGCAGCTGACATGTGCGGCCCACCTCGCGGGCTTCGCGCACCTGGCTGGCGTTTGCATTGGTTCCCGATAGCTGTCGATGGTGGCCCCTGCCCATGCTGAAACTCGGGTGCTTCTTATGTGTTGGGGGGGCGGGTGGGAACAAGCGAGACGGCTTGTTGCTTGTGGGTAACTTAATCACTGTTCCCTATTAATAAACACCCCCTCCCCCAGGCGACTGGGGGCCAACCCGAGTCCACGCCGACACCCCCCCCGCCATCCCTGGTAAAAAAAATGCAGAACACACTCTGCCTCCAAATTCGGAACATGCGCAGCCAACCCGATGCGGCCCCCCCCACCATCCCTGTTAAAAATAACGATACAGAGTACACTTGGCGGCGGCGGCGGCTGCGGCGGCTGCGGCGGCGGCGGCGGCGGCGGCGGCGGCTGCGGCGGCGGCGGCAGCGGCAGCGGCGGCGGCGGCGGCGGCGCTGCGGCGGCGGCGGTGGCGGCAGCGGCTGCGGGCGGTGGCGGCAGCGGCTGCGGCGGCGGTTTGGCAGCGGCGGCGGCGGCGGCGGCGGCGGCGGCGGCGGCGGCGGCGGCGGCGGCGGCGGGCAGCGGCGCGGCTGCTCCCGGCTGTCTTGGAGTCCAGGGGCAAGCCGGTTGACGAGCTTCAGGAGGGAAAAAACACAGTCACAATTAATTGTCGATCCCCCAGAAAATATGGGAAAATATGGGAAGTGTGGGGGAAGACGAAAACCTAGAAAATATATGAGAATATAGGGAATCTGTTTATTTGTGTGTATTAATTTGTGTGTCCTGGGGCCCCTTCAGAGCTGGTCGCCTGCGTGTGTGCTCCTGCGGCCGGGATCTGCCAGAGGTCGAGTGGTCGTCTCTGTGTTTCCCACCGTCTGGCGGGAGATCCAGCGCCGTCTCGCGTTCGGCAACGCCGATGTGCTGCCTGGTGCGGCGTGAACAGCCAAGCGCGAACGCCACCGGCACGAGCACTACCACTGCTACCACCAGCGCGGCCACCACTCCCACCGCCGCGACCACTACCAGCTCCGACACGACCACCACCACGGGCCCGACGACCATTAGTACGGCCACAACCACGACACGCCGCGATTCCCATGACGGCCTCACCACGACCAGTGCGGCCGCGGTGCCCGACGCGACCATTGCCGCTCCCGGGCCCGACGAGCAGTCGCACGACCACCGCCGCGACCATTGGAGCCTTTTGTGGAGCTTCCTACAGGGGCCATGAAACGCGTGAAGAGTGTATCGCCTTGGGTGCGGGGCCGCCATGCGAACGCAGCTCCTGGGGCCTCCGGTGGAGCCCCCTTTTGGGCCGCGAAGCGTGCGAGGGTCGTGCCGACGCGGGCGCGGTGCCGCCTGGCGAAAACAGCCACTGGAGCCTTCAGTAGAGGCCCGCCTATGGCCACGACGCTTCTGAGGGGTGTGCCGAAATGGGCGCGGTGCCACCGTGCGATCGCAGTGGGGCCACGAAACGTGTGAGGGGTGCGCCGACATGGAGGTGGAACTGCATGCGGATCGTCACTGGGGCCTTCGGTGGAGCACCCAATGTGGCCACGAAGCGCGTGAGGGGTGCGCCGAAATGGAGGTGGAACTGCATGCGGACCCTGCCCTGGGGCCTTTGGTGGAGCACCCAATGTGGCCACGGAGCGTGTGAAGGGTTCGCCGACATGTAGGTGGAACTGCCTGCACGCATATAATGATGATGAGGACATGCGGAGTGCAGAGGCAAGAGATGGGAGGAGGAGGAGGAGGAGGAGGAGGAGGAGGAGAAGGAGGAGGAGGAGGACGAGGAGGAGGAGGAGGCGGAGGCGGATTGGCCCCCAGTAGCTCCCCATCCCAAGACGACTGCTGAATATGCTGAGGCTCGGGCCAGACTCGGGTGCTACGTATGTGTTGGGAGGGCGGGTGGGATTGAGCGAGACGGCCTGCGGGCGGGGAGGGGGTAACTTAACCCCTCCCCCCACCCCCTCCCCTGGACCTGGAATGGAGGTGCCGCGACCGATTTGAGCGTCCAAGAAGGCCTCGGCGAGATTCTACAAATCACTGATTCTCCTGAGGTGTTGGGGGGTGGGGGGGGAGAGGCTAAGAAGGACCCCCCTTCTTTGATCGAGCTCTTCCAAGATGGCCCAAAGATGGTCTCCAAGGCTTCCAAGAGTGCCCCAGGAGGGCCCCAAGAGGCGCCCA